GTGGCTAAGGATCATTTCTTCCGTGGCTAAGGGTCATTTCTTTCGTGGCTAAGGGTCATTTCTTTCGTGGCTAAGCGGCTAAGGGTCATTTCTTTCGTGGCTAAGGGCCATTTCCCGCGCCTTGGGCTTTTGGAATGTAGTATTGGGCCTTGGGCTTTAGGATTTAGCGGGCACTGGCCTTTAGGGGCTATTGGGCTTTGGGCTTTAGGTTTTAGGGTCTACTGCTACTGCGCCTTGGGCTTTAGTTGGGCTTTGGAGCTGGGCTTTAGGTTTTTAGGGCCTACTGAGCCTGGGGCTTTAGGATTCAAGGTAGGTTTTAGGGCCTACTGGGTCTTGGGCTTTAGGGCTCAGGGGCCACTGGCCTTGGGCGTTAAGATTTAGGGGCTACTGGGCTTTGGGCTTGCTTGTTTAAGGCCTGTTGGGCCTTGGGCTTTAGGGTTTCGGGCCAGTGGCCTTGGGCTTTAGGATTTAGGGGGTAGCCTTGAACTGTAGAGGGCCTACTGGGCCTTGGACTAGGAGTGTTTTGCTGAGTGGTGCGTTTAGGGCTTGCCATTTTGATTTAAAAAATAGGAAACAAAAATATTTTCCCAATGTTATGGGATCCAATGGGTGGGCTGGTAGATTTTCAATACCAGAGTAGCGAGCTTGACTAGTGAATGCTTGGACATGAGATGCTGAACCCTAAGCCCTAAACCCTAAGCCCTAAAACCCCAAACCCCAAACTCCCAACCCCCAAAACCCCAAACCCTGAAAAAGGGCTTCCTGGCCTCAAAGGGCCGCTCCCGCAGCCTAAGCCAGCAAGGTCTCTTGGGTTTTTAGGGCTTTTGGGATCTACAGGTTGGGATGCTTGGGGGTTTAGGGTTAGGGCTGTGGGAGTAAGGGCTTTTCGGTTTAGGGTTTCACGGGTTTAGGGGCTATAGGGTTCCGGGTTTAGTTGGGATGTTCCCCCTTATACTAACAGGCCTCCAGGAGGGATTAGAATAGGGGGTACTGTAATCCCTATTAAGGACTGCCACTGGAAGGGGGAACATCCCAATTTATGGGGCTTTTGAACTTCTAGGGTTTGGTGTTTTAGATTTGATTTATGGGGCTTGTAGGGCTTTTGGTTTTATTTATTTGTTTTGTTTTTTCTTTTTTGTGAGGGGGGGTGGTTTATGGGGATGATAGGTAGGGTTTCTAGGCTTAATTCGGGCTTTTGGGGTTTACGCGCTTGCTAGGGTGTTTTTGGGCTTCTAGGGTTTACAGGGCTTTGGGGTTTCTAGGGTGTTTTAGGGGTTTGGGGTATTTTGTTGTCTACGTTTATAGGGCTTTTAAGGGCAGCATGGCCTCGGGGCTGAGGACGTTCTGGGTCAAAGCTTTGAAGGCTTTCGGGTTTTAGGGGCTTGTGAAGCCCTAATCCCCATACCTCAAAGACCCTAGTTTTATAACCTAAAGCACGAGTCATTGATGAAAAGGGAGCCGGACGCAGCGTTGGACGCCGTTGGCTTTAGCCGACGCCTTGTCCGAAGGGGAGGCTCTAGAGTCCTACCAAACTGCCGCAAAAGGCAAGTTTAGGGTTTAAGGGTTTAGGGGTTTAGGGGTTTTAGGGTTAGGGTTTAGGGCTTAGGGTTTGGGGTTGAGGGCTTAGGGTTTAGGCTATCAGCCATTCCTATGGGTACTTTTGGGGTCCAGGACTATGGATAGGGCACCCGGCAAGCCCTAAAACTCCAAACCTAACCCTAAACCCTAAACCCTAAACCCTAAACCCTAAACCCTAAACCCTAAACCCTAAACCCTAAACCCTAAACCCTAAACCCTAAACCCTAAACCCTAAACCCTAAACCCTAAACCCTAAACCCAAACACTATGCCCGTTGATCCAAGGCGCAGGCGGAAGAAGCTTCGGCCGAGCAGATCGATGCCACGAACTCCGGCGGCCATACTGGGGTGAGCCTGTGGGTTTAGGGTTTAGGGTTTAGGGGTTTTAGGGTTTGGGGTTTATAAGGTTTGGGGTTTGGGGTTTTGTGGTTTGGGGTTTGGGGTTTGGGGGTTTGGGGGTTTGGGGGTTTGGGGGTTTGGGGGTTTGGGGGTTTGGGGGTTTGGGGCTTAGAATTTGAGCTTCATCCGTGCGCTCACCCGGCTGAAAGCATCTTTGAAGGTGTACCTTGCAAAAAAGCATTCGCCTCAAGTAACCTCCTCTTCCAGACCTGTCCTTAACCCTAAACCCTCAACCCTAAACCCTGAAACCTAAACCTTTTGTCTTCAGATATCCGAAAGGCTCTGAACTCCCTAGCACTCCTGGCACAAACGAAGCCTCAGAATGGGCAGCGGAGGGCAGGGCACGTGAGGTTGCTTCAAGACCGATGCTTTTTAAGTAGGAATTCGTGGCACGTCTACGCGCGTCCTTCAACTCTTACCAGGGATTTCCCGTAAACAGGTACCCCATTCAGGAAACATAGACCCCACTTGAACACTGCGACCTGCATTCCCTCGAGGTGCTGTTTGTCCTTTCAGAAGCGTTTGCGCGGCCCGGCCCTATTACGGGGCATCCGGCCATCACACCATGCAGCTGGGGTGGTGGCTTGAGGCCGGGGTTGCTGGTATAGTGGCTTATATAGGTTTTAGGGTTTAGGGGGTTTTGAGGATCAACAGGTTCTTGTTCTTTGAGGGCTTTTGGGGCTCAAGGTTCTCAAGGCGTCAGTCGTACAAGTCTCAAATCTTCTGCAGCTTTACATACTCCAAACTCTTCAGCCGGCCAACCACATCCACCTTCGTTCATGGGGCGCCCTCTCCCGAAACCTAAAAATTCCTGAGGCCCCTAACCATGAAGAGTTACGATCTCATACCCTCATGTAATCTCGCAGAACCATACTGCAGCCCTGATCCAGACAAAGAACCGAAATCCTAAACAGTAGAGTTGCGTGAAGAGTTCTGGGATGTTCACTGGGGTTGTCATGTTTACTGGGCTGGGGTTGGGATGTTTGAGGGTTCAGGGGTCCAGGGTTCGGGCCTGGGTGTCGTTGCCTTGCGGCGTGGCTGGTTGGGAGGTGGCTGAGGGTTGGGGGGCTGCGAGGTTTGAGGGATTTGGGCGTTGAGGGGGTCCGGGATGGGTTGCGCAGGGTTGAGCTGCCTAAGATTTTTCAAGAGTTCAGGTTGAGTTGAGGGTTTAGGGTTTAGGGTTTAGGGTTTAGGGTTTAGGGTTTAAGGTTAGGGTTCAGGTGCTTGGCTCCTTGGTTTTAGTGTTTCGTGGCCTCACGCTTGCGGCTATTGTTATAGGGGTTGACGCGGATCAGGTCCCCAGCTGGCGCTTCATCTGAAACAGTTCCCAGAGGACCCATGTGCAGTACCATTACATGGTATCTCGGCACCAGCTTTTGGGGTAGTGGTACCGCAGAAGGACCCTCTGTGGTTGAAACGATCATCTACCGAATTCCTACGCTATGTACAAGAGGCAGCTGTGCACAGCTGCTTGGGGGTCGCAAGCTCGAGCAAGGGCACGTTCAAGCTGAGAGGGTTGACAAAACATGCCCAGAGAGCTAAACATATCTGACATTATTAGATGATCCCCCCCCTGATGAGGACGCCAGGGTCCAACAACCTTGGCGGTTTGGCTTGGTAGGGATAGGGTTTAGGGGGTGTGGGGTAATTGGGGTTTAGGGTTCGAATTGGCATGTAGTTTGGCCAACCTTGGTCACGCCCTTTCCCCCGCCCCCCACGCCCCAACCCGCCCCCCCCCCCAAAAAAAAAAAAAAAATAAAAAACTAAATAAAATAAATAAATTAAAAACACAAACCTTTAAACATCTAAACCCTAGCCCTAACCCTAAGCCCGAAACCCTAAACCCTTTTGAGCCCTTAAACCCTAAACCCTAAACCCGAAACCCTACACCTTAAACCCTAGAGCCTAAAACCCTAAACCCTATAAACCCTAAACCCTAAACCCTAAACCCTTTGAAGCCCCAAAGCCAGGACTTGGACTCCCCTCGGCCCTAAGGCAGGGCTCGGACTTCGGAAGGCTCCAGAGGGGTTGAGGGCTTATAGGGTTGCAAGGCGTAGGGTTTAGGGTTTAGGGTTTAGGGGTTGGGGTTTAGGGTTTAGGGTTTAGGGTTTAGAGTTTAGGGTTTAGGGTTTAGGGTTTAGGGTTTAGGGTTTAGGGTTTAGGGTTTAGGGTTAGGGTCTAGGGTTTGGTTTTTAGGGCGTAGGGCATAGGGCGCAGGGTCTAGGGTTTAGGGGATGCGCCCATGGAATACAAAGGGTGCCCTGTTTGGTTTAAAGTGCATGGTGTTATAAGGGAACCTAAACCCCCCAAAACGGAAATACTGGCCCTAGTCTATAAGGCCGGTTTGTTGACGGAGTTCTCGGGGTTTAATTATAGCGTTTGCAGGGTTTATAGGGTTCAACATTCCCCCCCCTCCCTGTGTCTTCATGGTCAGTGGTTCATGGTGGGTCTAGGGTTTGAGGTTCTCGGGTTTAGGGCTTGGGTTTCACTCTGCCTTCCATGGCTCCTGGTGGGGTCAGGGTCTGCCTCCCCCAGTTTATTGGTAGGTTTAGGAATCGTCTTTAGGGTTTTCACTTTGCCCCCGCGTCGTTCATGGTGTGTTTAGGGCTTACGGCTCAAGTTCCCCCTCTACAAACTCCCCCTCCCCCCTACGCTGGTTCGTGCTGGGTTTAGTGTTGGCGGGTGGGGGGAGCGAGAGTGTGTGCAGGACGCATATAGGTTTCATAGTGTAGGTTTTTTGTCAGGTTTTACAGGGCTTCATTGGCTTCTAGATTCTAGGGTGTTGTCGGGTTATAGGGGCTTTGATCGGATTACAAGCAATAGCACTGAAAAACCGTGCCTTTCAAAAAGCATTCCGGGATGCAGCGCCCGAAACCCTAACCCCTAACCCCGAACCCCCTAACCCCTAACCCCTAACCCCTAACCCCTAACCCCTAACCCCTAACCCCTAAACCCTAAACCCTAAACCCTAACCGGCCCTAACCCATGGATTCCGAAGGAGCGGGTGTCTGAGCGTGCCCTGCGTCACTGCACCGATGACTTGAGGCACTTGGCGCAGGCCGTGGCGAAGCCGATCATTGCGCCGGGGCCGCCGCCGGCGAAAATGTAGCCTCTTTGGTGTTCATGGGGTTTAGGAAACTCTCTTAAGGTTATATAACCTTTAGGATTAAAAGGGGATTGTATTACCCCAAAAAGGTGAAAGGTTACATACTCTACTCCTCAGCCCTAAGCCCACAACAAGGCACAAGACACATGCAACCAAAGTCCACCGGTATGTTCGAGACAGCCAGTCATGCGGGGGCCTACTCACTGTTTTTGGGCACGCTGCAACATGCGGGTGTTGTCTGAACGAACCTGCTCCCCTCGAAAACACTGAACCCTAAACCCTGAACCCTAAACCCTTACTGGCTGCAGGACGGTTCAGATGGCAATAAGACATCCCCGAAACGCCTAGACCCTGAGATGCCCTGAGTTTAGGGTTCAGGGTTTAGGGTTTAGGGCCATGTTGCCTGAACACGAACAATATGCACAGGATCTTTCTGATCGCATTGGCAGTGAAAAGTATGGAAAAAAAGGCGTCTCTTGGATGACCACAGTTATCAGAAATGCCACTGCAATCCCTAAACCCTAAACCCTAAACCGACGTGGAGCCTCGGAACGATACCCTGAGCCCATTTGAACGCTACCCTAGACACCCTATAGCCCCCCAAAACCAGCCGAAAACCAACCCCTAAGCCAACCACCACACCCTGAACTTGCAACCATAGCCTAAAGAGCTTCTACACAGTCTTCAAAACCCTCAACAGCCTAAACCTCAAAGCCTGAAACCTAGACCCTTCATCCCAAAACCTGCCGCCAGGGAACCCGTAGAAGCGAACGCGGCCATACGCGCCACGTCGGTGGCGAGCGCGAGCGCGCGGCTCGGCTCGTGGATCCTCGAGCGCAGCTTGCCGGCAGGGGTTCCCTTCCAGGGTTAGGGGGGTTTAGGGTTTAGGGTTTAGGGTTTAGGGTTCAGGGTTCAGGGTTCAGGGCTCAGGGTTTAGAGTCTCGGGTGTATATGGAGCTTCAGGATGAGGGTTATTAGGGTTTCCCCCAAGAACCCAAAACCCGTTTTTTTCTCGAAAGTTTGCGTGAGATTTCTGTCAGGGACATAGTGGTTCTCGCTGGAAAAAGGAGGCTTGGGGTTGCTTAACGTAGGGCCATGGCTCTGGACACTCTGGCATCAGCTAGAAGGTCAAAAGTGTGTGAAGGCGGTCAAGACGACCCGAAACCCGAAACCCTAAACCCTAAACCCTAAACCCTAACCCTGGAAGGGGTTTAGGGTTTGGGGCTTTCGCATCCCAGGGCCACACCAGCACCAAGGCGTTGCGAGCTGGAAAAACCCTATACACAATTGAGGGACCCTAAACCCTAAACCCTAAACCCTACACCCTAAACCCTAAACCCTATGCCGATTTGCACATACACAATTGAGGGGTTGAGGGCTTAACATGCAGGCTGTCTAACTTCATCTTTCATCTGGAAGCTCTGTACCTCGGAAACACTGCTCTGTTTGGGGTACCCACCCCCCCTACAGGCGCCCCCGAATTTAGGATTCAAGTCTTGGTTGCATTTTACGGTTTATGAGTTCTGAGGCCATCTAAACAACAAACCCTAAAGCCTCAGAACCTGGGTTCAGGATCCCTGAACCTAAACTCTAAACTCTAAACTCTAAACCCTAAACCCTAAACCCTAAACCCTAAAGGTCCTGGGGCGCTTCCGTGCCGCATTCGCCATCTCTTCCGCTCCCCGCTTCCTAAGCGTTGAGGAGCTTAAGGTTTGGGTCATCCTAAACCCTAAACCCTATAAACCCTAACCCCAAAGCTCCCTAAACCCCAAACCCTACAGCCTCGGCCCTTAACACGAAACACGAAACCCTGGGGCAGAAAGGCTTCAGAAATTGCATGTTTGTTTTTTGCTGTGCGTGTTTAGGGGTATTGTAGCACTATCGTGGTACACAAAAGGCCGCGCTTCATGAGGTTTTAGGGTTTAGTCCCAGAAGAGAACTACAGATGGTCAATTTCGTAGGTTCTCCCTCGCCCAAAAAGCGCAAGAACACCAAACCTCACCCATATCCAACCCTAAACAGCCTTCTTGCCTTGGAACTTGGACTTGGGTGCGTCGGGTCATGAGGCTTTGGGGGTCATGGGCGAAAAACCGAGGCAATCGTACCAAATACCCTCCAAAAAGCTTGGGGTTTAGGGCATTATCTGGAAAATCCACACCCGTATCACACCAAAACGCTCGGCTCAAAACCCTAAAAGCCGAAACCCCTACAGCTGGGATGCAGGTTCTCGGTGGCGAGGTTCTTGAACTCGGCGTTGGCCTCTGCGTTCCTGGCCCAGTTGTGGGAGCTCCAGACTAGATAAGGGTTTACGGACTAGGGTTTTGGGTATTTTCTTATTGCTTCTTCGTGGGGAGTTCATGATGCGTGATTCGAATACCTGAGATCCCAAAAGGGAAAAAGCAAGTACCTTAGCTCCCGGTCAAGAGTCAGTAGGTCATTAAGCCCGGACTCTCAAAGCCCATCTCCTCAGAAGCTAAAGCCTCCCCCTTATTCACCCTAACTATCAAGCACTCCCCAGGCCTTTACAAGCAACCCCAGACCCCAGACCAATTATTATATAAGGGTTTGGGATTTAGGGTTTAGGGTTTGGGTTTTAGGGTTTAGGGTTCAGCGTTTAGGGCTGAATTGGCGGCATTGTGGCCGAAAGAATGTAGCACAAAAGCAGTTCGGCAAACCTCTACGAAACTGTTGCAGTTCGAATGGGTTCGAGAAGATTTTAGCTTAGAATATGACTACGAAAGTTGCTTTCAAAAAGGGACCTGCTCGATTTCAGGGACATGATGTAGATTGTTCGTGCATGCATATATCCTAAGAACAGAATGCACCCTGGCATATACAATTATACATATGTATATATATATATATATGTATACGTATGCAGCATGCAGATATTCATAGATGGAAGAGTGAGGGCTTGGAGGTGGATAGGGGTTTTTGAGGCTGAGGGACAGGTGTGGGGGTGGATAAATGGGATGGCTAGAAAAAGGTCCTAAACTCCAACCAAGCATCCCCCTGGCTTGAGCACTTGGCGAAGGTGTCCTTTCCACCAGCCGCCTCTCATGCTCAAGGAGTGGATATGCTGGGCAGACACAGCGCCCAAACGACCTGAACCTATCACAACTAGCGTTCCTGAACACAAGTTACAGTACAGGGCCACTGGTACGAGCCCGATCCCCGAGGCAGGGGGCCAGCTTCAGCGCAACACCTACGGGAGAACCACGTGGGGCAATCCAAAACTAAGAAGGCCCAAAAAAGTTCCAACCCCACGTCTCTGAAGCCCAAAACGTACCCTTCATAACTCAGAGCTGGCGATACAAGCCGAGCATCCCCATGGGTTGAGCACTTGGCGAAGGCGACCGTTTTACCAGTGGCCTCTGATGCTTGAGGAGTGCAAATTTCTGTGCAGAGGGGCATGAGGGGCCACCGCCTTGACGACCACAACCCCTCAGAACAAGTGTTAACCTCTCAAAACAAGTGTTCCTCTAGTACGGCCAGATAATAGCCGAGCATCCCCGTGGGTCGAGCACTTGGCGAAGGCGTCCTTTCCACCAGCCGCCTCTCATGCTTAAGCAGCGGCAAGGCTTGAATAACCTGAACCTCTCAAAACCGGCGTTCCTGAACACAAATTACAGTACGAGCCCGATCCCCAGGGCAGGGGCCAGCTGCTCTGCAACACCTACTGGAAAATGACGTGGGCGAAGCCAAAACTAACAAGCCCCAAAAAAGTTCCAACCCCACGTCTCTGAAGCCCAAAACGTACCCTTCATAACTCAGAGCTGGGGATACAAGCCGAGCATCCCCATGGGTTGAGCACTTGGCGAAGGCGACCGTTTTACCGGTGGCCTCTACTGCTTGAGGAATGCAAATTTCTGTGCAGAGGGGCATGAGGGGCCACCGCGTTAACGACGACAACCCCGCAAAACAAGTGTTAACCTCTCCAAACAAGTGTTCCTTTAGTAGGGCCATGAGCCTTATACCCCCAAAAAAGACACCGAGCTGGGGATAATAGCCGAGCATCCCCGTGGGTCGAGCACTTGGCGAAGGCGTCCTTTCCACCAGCCGCCTCTCATGCTTAAGCAGCGGCAAGGCTTACATAACCTGAACCTCTCAAAACTAGCGTTCCTGAACACAAATTACAGTACGAGCCCGATCCCCAGGGCAGGGGCCAGCTGCTCTGCAACACCTACTGGAAAATGACGTGGGCGAAGCCAAAACTAACAAGCCCCAAAAAGTTCCAACCCCACGTCTCTGAAGCCCAAACCGTACCCTTCATAACTCAGAGCTGGGGATACAAGCCGAGCATCCCCATGGGTTGAGCACTTGGCGAAGGCGACCGTTTTACCAGTGGCCTCTGATGCTTGAGGTATGCAAATTTCTGTGCAGAGGGGCATGAGGGGCCACCGCGTTAACGACGACAACCCCGCAAAACAAGTGTTAACCTCTCCAAACAAGTGTTCCTTTAGTAGGGCCATGAGCCTTATACCCCCAAAAAAAGACACCGAGCTGGGGATAATAGCCGAATAGCCGAGCATCCCCGTGGCTCGAGCACTTGGCGAAGGCGTCCTTTCCACCAGCCGCCTCTCATGCTTAAGCAGCGGCAAGGCTTGAATAACCTGAACCTCTCAACAAATTACAGTACGAGACCCCGATCCCCAGGGCAGGGGCCAGCTGCACTGCAACACCTACTGGAAAATGATGTGGGCGAAGCCAAAACTAGCAAGCCCCAAAAAGTTCCAACCCCACGTCTCTGAAGCCCAAACCGTACCCTTCATAACTCAGAGCTGGGGATACAAGCCGAGCATCCCCATGGGTTGAGCACTTGGCGAAGGCGACCGTTTTACCGGTGGCCTCTGCTGCTTGAGGAATGCAAATTTCTGTGCAGAGGGGCATGAGGGGCCACCGCGTTAACGACGACAACCCTGCAAAACAAGTGTTAACCTCTCCAAACAAGTGTTCCTTTAGTAGGGCCATGAGCCTTATACCCCCAAAAAAAGACACCGAGCTGGGGATAATAGCCGAGCATCCCCGTGGCTCGAGCACTTGGCGAAGGCGTCCTTTCCACCAGCCGCCTCTCATGCTTAAGCAGCGGCAAGGCTTGAATACCCTGAACCTCTCAACAAATTACAGTACGAGACCCCGATCCCCAGGGCAGGGGCCAGCTGCACTGCAACACCTACTGGAAAATGATGTGGGCGAAGCCAAAACTAGCAAGCCCCAAAAAGTTCCAACCCCACGTCTCTGAAGCCCAAACCGTACCCTTCATAACTCAGAGCTGGGGATACAAGCCGAGCATCCCCATGGGTTGAGCACTTGGCGAAGGCGACCGTTTTACCAGTGGCCTCTGATGCTTGAGGAATGCAAATTTCTGTGCAGAGGGGCATGAGGGGCCACCGCGTTAACGACGACAACCCCGCAAAACAAGTGTTAACCTCTCCAAACAAGTGTTCCTTTAGTAGGGCCATGAGCCTTATACCCCCAAAAAAAGACACCGAGCTGGGGATAATAGCCGAGCATCCCCGTGGCTCGAGCACTTGGCGAAGGCGTCCTTTCCACCAGCCGCCTCTCATGCTTAAGCAGCGGCAAGGCTTGAATAACCTGAACCTCTCAACAAATTACAGTACGAGACCCCGATCCCCAGGGCAGGGGCCAGCTGCACTGCAACACCTACTGGAAAATGACGTGGGCGAAGCCAAAACTAACAAACCCCAAAAAAGTTCCAACCCCACGTCTCTGCAGCCCAAAACGTAGCCTTCATAAGAGCTGGGGATACAAGCCGAGCATCCCCATGGGTCGAGCACTCGGCGAGGGCGTCCTTTCCAGCAGTGGCCTCTGATGCTTGAGGAGTGGAGTCGCTAGTAGCGGGGCAGCCCTAAACCCCAAACCCCAAAACCTAAGCCCAAATCTTGCACTCTCAACACTAAAGGCTCGTAGTCCAGACCCCTCAGCCCAAGGCCTACCAAACCCTGGACCCTGCTTCGGGCATAAGAGAGGGCACTTACGAGGGGCCCTGAATGCCTAAACCCCTAAACACATAAACCCCAAAACCCTGAACCCTAAACACCTAAACCCTAAACCCTTCTAACCCCTAATTACAGGGATCGTCAACCAGGCGTGGCGGCCTCTGCTCCAGGGGCTGTGCAGATACCTGCAAGGGCAGGGCTTTGGAATGTTAGGGTTTGAGGGTTTCAGGGTTTAGAGGTTTCAGGGTTTCAGGGTTTCAGGGTAGAAGGTTTGAAGGATTTAGGGTTATAGTTATAGAATGTGAGGGTTTGGGGGTTTCAGGGTTTCAGGGTAGAAGGTTTGAAGAAGAAAACTGCGAACTACCGGAGGTTGTTCCAAATTAGGCCATTCAGGATCGGACTGCTTAGCAGCAGGGGGCGACCCTAAACCGTAAACCCAAATCGCCTCTGGGTTTAGGGTTTAGGCAGTTATGGGGAAAATCGGGGACTCGGCAAAGTGGCAGGTAAGATGGTGAATGCAAGGCCCCAACACAGCTTGCAACCCCACCTAAACCACTCCAGCTGCCCCTTCATAGCTACGAGAGGATCCTTACCTTGGAGGATACTGCAGGGGACCCATTGGAAGGGGCAAGGGTCTGGTAAGCCATCAAGCACGAAAATGCAGATCCCTAACCCTACAGACTCTACACTCTGGACTCTAGATCCTCAACCAGAAAGCCAGAGCCTGCACGTGCAAGCAGTGGTCTGCTTGTGCGTACGCTTCATACATCTCCTGCACGGTCCTGAGCACGAAGGGTTCAGCAAGGGCAACAATAATTTGCCAACCTGTCTACACAGAACTCGCCCCCATGACCTCTTACTTGGCCGCGCGGCTTTGTTTTCCTACGGTAGAAGTTGGGTGATAACTAGGGCAATGAATAGTTACAACTGGTTCTACGCTTGTGTAGCTTCTAAGTACCCATGAGCCTCCAAGTAGGGACTCCAGTGTGTTATAGGGCACCTCAGGTTAAGAGCTTGAAACATTGAGGTCTTGGCAAATCCGAAAGCAATACCTCCGTTCTTACCTGATCGAGACATGGTTTGGGCCTTTGAAGGTCATATGCGTTTAGGGATAGGATTAGGATGCTGGAAATCGCCCAAGTGCTGCGAAGGTGCAGGCAGTCCATGTCGATTGAGTCAACCACTTCGCCATAAAACATAATGCGCACTTCGCTCCTCCGGACTGCTGTGTGACTTGCTGGAGATATCCTAGACCGAAGAGTAACCTAGGAATCAGCAGGGTTACCCTTTTTTTGTTTAAAGGGGCTAAAAAGAAGCCTAAACAACAGGAAATCGCCTCTTTATTCACTCACAAAAGCTATTGAGAAGCCAGGCTTGGGTTGATAAATTGCATGGGAACGCATCCGCGAAGTTTTGGGGTTGTTTAGGGTTCTGGCTGTGTAGGGTTTTAGGTGTGTAGGGTTCTGGAGTAAATGGTTTAGGGGTTTGTAGGTTCAGCGTTGAGGATTTGGTGCACATGCTGGGGCGAATCATGTGTGCGCATGTGTGCGCATGTGTGCGCTTGTTTGCGCTTGTGTGCGCATGTGCGCGCGCATGCATGTGCATGTGCGTGTGCGTGTGCATGTGCATGTGCATGTGCATGTACATGTACATGTGCGTGTACATGTACATGTGCGTGTGCGTGTGCATGTGCATGTGCATGTGCATGTGCATGTGCATGTGCATGTGCATGTACATGTACATGTGCGTGTGCGTGTGGGTGTGTGTGTGTGTGTCTGTGTGTCTGTGTGTGTGTGTGTGTGTGTGTGTCTGTGTCTCTGTGTGTGTGTGTGTGTGTGCGTGCGTGCGTGCGTGCGTGCGTGCGTGTGTGTGTGGGCGCGTGCGTGCGTGGGTGGGTGGATGGGTGGGTGGGTGGGTGGGTGCGTGGGCGGGTGTGTGTACGTGTGTGTGTATATATATAGGTTTTGGGGCTTTAGAGGCTCATGGAGCAGAAGCCGTAACTCTTTTGGCTTTAGTTTCTTTTTAGGCTAAAACACCACATGAACCTTACACCCTGGGCCCTTATGCTCTTTTGGGTTTGGGGACTTTGGGGGTCGAGGCCCTAAGCCCCGAGGTTCCTCTCGCCCGACCAGTCGCAGTGCTTCTGAATGCTGGTCTCAAACTCATACGGAGACATCCTCGGACTGCCCCGAATTTGCCCTACAGGGACTTGGAGGCTCATGGGTACTTAAAAGTAGGGTTGCAGGTAGGGTGCGTAGAACTGTAGCTGGTTGTAACCTTTTTTTAGGGTGCTTATTATAACCCTACTTATATAAGTACTCCTGAACCTCCAAGTAGCTCTGGGTAGAGATATAATTTAAACTCAGGGTCCTGGATTGAGTTATAAGTGTAGCTTGGGCTTGCAATCCCTGAAAAGCCCGGAGCTCTGATCCAAAATAGGCATATGCTCAATCCACAGTAGTGCCCTTTTGGGGACCCTGTTTCAATACGGACCCTGTGATTTCAAGGGTGCCCCCAGAAGACAAGGCGAACCATCGCTTAGAGAGCCGAAAAGGAGTGTAGTTAACTTAGTGTCTAGGGAGTGTTTCGGAGCATCGGGCTTATAGGATGAACGGGCTTCAAGCGTTTCTGGGGTACATAATACAGAGTTAACCAGCAGCTGCAAAAAACATGCTTTTTCTATTCTTGCGATTCAGGGTACATCCTGTGGATACAAGGTCTACGGGCGGGAATTTGAGGGGTTGTTTTCAGGGAAGGTTTGGAAGGGAAAGCCCCCAAAACCTGGAAACATGTGAGCGGCTGACAAAGCCCTGTCTTCGTTGAAAGTTGCACAACATGCCTGGGGCCCCCCATCGATTGTCGAGGTTTAGCAACCCTACAGATAGAGAACAACAGACACCCGGCAATAACACTGTAGGGCCGGCTCCTATGGCTTTCCAAGGAGAAAAAATGCTCGTGGTAGCCCAGTAACCGTACTAAAAATAAGGCCACCCTTGTTTGGTTGGTGGTTACTTTATAAGGGAACCTTGAACCAACAACAGTGAAAAAGGGTGCACCTGGGCTACCAAGTGCTGATCAAAACCTAGAGGGCATGCAGCGTCAAGACAAGATGGGTAACCCCTAAACCGGTCAACGCCATGGAGTCCATGTCATGTCGACCCTGACTCTTTTCATCGGAACTTGGGAGTATGCGGGGTACATGGGGTTTTTCATGGGCTCTAAAAGATTCAGGAGTTTGGCGAGTCCAGGGGTTTAGGGCCCGGTTTCTTCAAGGGCTTCCCCACCAAGATTGCAAGGCCCAACCCAAGCCGCTCAAACCCCGCAAGCCCCTTGAATCCTTAAATCCCCCGCTTAGAGCCCTTAGAACTTCGCGAGCCCCTTAGACCCCAAAGCCGTGATTCGCCCGAAAAAAGGCAAAGAGCAAACCTTGAGCCGCCAGGGGGCGTCTTGGGCATCAGGAGCTTCTTGCTGCTGTGGTCATGGGGCTCCTGGGCCATCCTCGCTGGCTCAGGTCTTCTCTGTCGTGTTTCTTTTTTTCGTGCGCGCAGGCGCGCGGGGCGTGGGTGGGTGGGTAAGTCGGTAAGTGGGTGCGGGGCTCCGGGGGTGTTGGATTTTAGGTTTCGGGTCTGTAGGCTTGGGAGTGTTGAGTTAAAGGGTGGGGTGTCCAGATTCCCGGCACCCCCAAACCCTGAACACCCAAACTATAAAAACGAAGCCCCAACCTATGGTCAGCCCTGGCAAACCGGGAGCCCAAACCGGAACCAGCACCCAAAGATTAAAGCCCTCGAGCGTGAGGTGCATTTCTTAGAGTGTTGGGGTTTTAGAGTTGAGAGCTTGCAGCTTTGGATTCACACAAGGACGGCTCAGAAAAGACAGTTGCCGAGAAGATGTGTCGACGCCTTGCCAGGCTTCTGCGACGGACGTCAGTCGGAAACTCCAGCTTCTATTGCTGTTGATTCGTCTTAGAAGGGCCAGATTCCACAAAGCCGACCGAGGGTGTCTCGTTACCCAGGGGCAATTCATCGCAGTAACCCCGCTACTTTTAAGGGGCACGTCTCAAGGTCTAGACTAGCGTTTTAGGTTTGGGTTCAGCGTTTAGGGTTGGGAGTCAGGGCGTCTCAAAACCCGATAAACCCTTACCCTATATCCTAAACCCTTAACCTTGAATCCTGAGCCTGAACCCTGAGCTCCTCCAGCACAGGATTGGAACGTGGTCAGGAAACTTTCTGAGCATCTTCTGCACTTGCCCGGTCTTGACCGCCATGGTTTGTCGAGCGTGCGGATTCTGGTTTTCCCGAGGTCTCCAAACGCCTTGCGCCTTATAATCAGCCCGAAATCATAAACCCTAAAGCCCTGTGTACCTCCTAACCCTAAACCCTTAAAACCCTGCTGCAGACTCAGGGCTCGATGTTGGCCATTGGCGTTGGGTACTACAGTCATACCCTCATACCTTCTACAGACGTCTCATCAAGTCCTACGCTCCCTGCTCTTCCTCGCTCTGCACGGCTTGAGCAAGGACGAACATCTTCCAGTGGCTCCCAAACCATAAACCCTAAACACTGCGGGTATCCGCTCAGCTTCCATCAAGCTCTTGAGGGAACTTTGGCATTCTTGTGAAGGTTGCCGACTATTTCACTTTTCTCATGCCATCTCCGAATGCTCGCTTTATTAAGAGTTGAGGCTGTCTCACGAGTGATCTAGAGCAGTCCTCACTGCCTAAACCCGAAACCCAGACAACGAAAGCAAGCAAGCAGCAAAGTGGGCGCCCAACTAGGGGCCTTTGTTTAGAACAAAGAAAACTCCTCCCCCCCCCCCCCCAAACCCTGAACCCTAAACCCAAAACCCCAAACCCTAAACACCAACCCCAGACCCTAAACCCAAACCTTGCTGAATCCGAACCAGTGAGCCCAAATTGAAACCCAAAACTACACCAGTCAGCCCCAGGGCTTGTAACCTGGATTCTAAGGCTCTAGTTGTTGTAGCGTTTTTTTTAGGGTTTAGGGTTTAGGGTTTAGCGTTTAGGGTTTCGGGTTTCGGGTTCAGTTCACACTGGGAGGCCCTTAAGAAGCCATAGCAGGACAGCTTCCCAGGCGATTCTCCTGACCTTGAAACTCAGCGCGGGGCCGAGCTCGCCAAGAGGAAGAGGAGAAGCAAGCGCATAAACCTCCCTAAGGCCCAAACCCCAAACCCTAAACCCCATACTTTCGAAATACGGGCTTAGGGCTGAAGAGCTTGGGAGCTTGGGAGCTCAATTTGTAGGTTATGAGGGTGCTTAGGGTATTTTGGGGCTTAGGGTTTATCGCTACTGGCAGGGTGGGTTTACGGTTTCGGGTTTCGGGAGTAAACCCCAAACCCTAAACCCAAAACCCTGAACCCTTTCGGGTTTAGGGTTCAGGGTTTGAGCCGCGAAAGGTCTTCGTCTCCGGCGATTCAAGGATTGAGGGTTTGGAGAAGCTTCCTGGGCGCACGTGCAAGAATTCCAAGCAGAGCGCAAACAGAGCGTAGATGCTGGACTTCGTATATATATATATATATATGTGTGTGTGTATCATAATATGTGGATACGAAAAAACTAACCTTAACACCCCCCCCCCTATGCAATGTGTCCACCTTGTTGATACTTACGTGGCACCTTCAAACACACGCAATCCCACGGCGTTTAAGGCTTCGTATCACAAAAATGATACACATATATATATATATGTATATATATATATATGTATAGAGAGAGAGAGAGAGTGAGAGAGAGAGCGAGCCAGCGAGGGCTAGAAAGTTCTTGCTCCAAACCTAGGGGCTCCACTTCTGGCATTCTCAATGGAACTACAAATGGGCCCTCCGGATGGCCCTGCAGACTCCCAACCCCCTCGACTGCACCACCAGGAGACCCCGGCCCTCACCAGCCAACACTGGGACCCTGGGAGGGAGCAGGTCTTTGGTAAGAAGGGAGTTCCAGGATACCAAGCAGGGACCCCTAAGGTGGGAGCAGCCCTCTGCAAGCGCACCTCTCGGGTTGTGGGCACAGGTAAGGAGCTGGGGATCCAGTCAGACTTTTTGCATTCCCTGGGCAGCACGCTGCATTGCTTCCTCTCTGATCTCTCCAACCTCTCAGAACCTCCGAGGTGGAGGTGACGTTATCTGACATGTGCTGAGGACGGGGGTTGTCCCCTAAGTATAGCGATTCGTAATCAGCGCCCCGAAGGGGGCCCATAGTTTAAACAACAGCTAGATGCGAGGGTCTGTTGCTCACTTGTCCAGTCTCCTAAGGGGGGAAATATGTCAAGGTTCACCTCTGGGGTTGTGGCCTAAACAGTTCAGCTTGCCTACGCTAGGGGCCAAGAAACCACCCTCCCGAACGTCGCCAGATGATCACTTCTGCAGGAAGTTGAGAAACTCATCCAGTGAGCAGCTGTCGCCTGACCCCCGTCGAAGCACATCCCCAAACTCCTAAGTGTTTAGGAGTTAAATATTGAAGGTTCGTTGTGGTTCGGGAAACAACGCGAAAAAAACCTAGACCTGAACTCTCTACCTGCAGCCGAAACATCCTCAACTCTGAGCCCTGACCCTTTAAGTAGACTTCAAAGGCGGTAGCAGCATCCTCAGGAGCTGTTGAGACGAGCAGTTGAATTTTGTTTGGGTTTGGCATTGAGGTTTAGGGTCTAGGATTTGGGGCTTAGGGTTAGAGTTTAGGGTTTAGCGGCCCATTTGGTGTGTTCTCATCAAGTTCAGAGTTTCGTTTTTGCTTCGCAAACTGGCGTGTCTAGAGGGTTCCAACGTTCAGGGTGAGGAGGGCTGGGTGGAGCCACGCCGCCCGGACATCAAAGAACAGGTGGTTTCAGAACCATGCAGCAACTGTAGCCCCCGACCCTGAGCTTAAAGCCTTAATCCGCAAGCCCAAACCCTGAGCTTGAATGTAGTGGGGCCGGGGTCAGAGGGCTCCAACACCAGGCACCTTACGTCTGCAAGTGGTAGATCAAGCCTCGAACTAACTAAACCCTAGGCCCTAAATCGTATGCAAAGCCCAATCCTGACCCCCAAGTCATGGAACAAGCACTTCTGCCAAAATCCTCAGTTGCTGCAACCAGAATCCATAAGACGTCAATTCGTTTGGCCTTTGATGGCGGTCCCGACGGCGGAGTCGCCTAGCATCTTCCAATAGCTCGCAAAGCAGGCGTGATGGCTTCATGGATTTGGTTTGGCACTTGAGTTTTAGGGTTGAAGCTTCCCAATTTGTAGACGTGAGTCAGAGCTTTGGGAAACTGCATCCGATTCCACCCTAAACTCAAAAACCAACTGCCCTAAATGCCGGGAGGGATCCCTAAACCCTCACGGGCTCTAGGTTGAGGGCTGAGCGGCTGAGCGTTAAGACTGTTTAAGACTTGAGGTTGTCAAGGTACAGGGAGCTGCAGGTTTGAGGCTTTAAGCTTTCTGGGTTCAGCAGCATCGCTTCACTTGCACCGCACTGCTTGGCCAGTTTTGCTAAGGATGAACCTTGGGAGCTTTGAGGGTTTAGGGTTTAGGGTTTAGGGATGAGGCTATCCCCCCAGAAGGCTTCTACCTACGTGTCTCTTGACCCCTTTGCCTCAAAGGTGTCCCACTCACTCGACCACTAAGAAGGCTCAGCCTCCCAACCCTGGGATTCTCCCTGATACTAACAGTCCTTAGTAGGGATTATCATAGGGGGGGGACCATAATCCCCATTAAGCTTAGTAAAAATAAGGGGGAACATCTCCACCCAAAGCCTGAACCAATCCTCGGGCCAGGCCTCCCTTCAAGATCTTGTCGAAAGTCTCGGCTTTGATCTTGTCCTTTGATGCCGCGGGTTTAGGGTTTCGGGTTTCGGGTTTAGGGGTTTAGGGGTTTAGGGGTTCAGGTGCTTAAGGGTTTAGGGGTTTAGGGTTCGGCAGACCCACAGCTACAGAATCCATGGAAACCTGGCGAGGGATGAACCAGGACAGGAGTCTGAGGCTGTAGGGCTGAAACATATGGAGCCTTATGGAGCTGCATAAGATAAACGAATGAATTATCAAGTCCGCCATGTGTTCTAAAGTTGGCCCGCACCTACGCGAACCGAAGCTGAGGATTCGACCTTGTAAACACACCCAGGGTCGGTAGAGGGGGACAAATTGGCAGTCATCGAGAAGTTCTTGGTTCGAGCTGTTATGATCATGAAATGTCATCCGTCGCAAGGCGCGAATGCTGCTCCGCAGCGCTCGCATTGCATATTCGTGGCTTCGCAGCTGCCTATGCGCCCGGCTGACGTCGATGAGTCGCGCGGGTCTGCTGAACGCAAACCCAGACTCTTACGACGTTTCGTCGAGCGCTGGAGATGGATGCCAGGTATATCGAGAGCAAGTTCCACGGTTCTCTCCTTGCCTGTGCCAGGCCTACCCTGTTGAGGCCGAAACCCGAAACCCTACCAAACTCCGAATCCTGAGTTTCGGAGTTTGAGGCCTCACAATTCAGCACATTCACTTGGCCACGTACAATAAGGGGCTGCGGGGGAGTGCCTCAAGCCCTAAATGCTCTGCAGCAGAGCTTCGCCAACCTCGCTGACGAGATGCCGCAGGAAAGGCACCTGAAAGGTCTTTGTGGGTACAGTTAAGCCTTATACTTATGGGAATTATAAGCCTTATACTTATGGGAATTATAAGGGTCCTCTCAGCGGGTGACAAGTAACTACCTAGGTTGTGATAAGTCCCTGAACAGTAAGGGGGAGCCTTGCAGGTGCTTCGCGCGCTTCACAAAAACTTCTAAACCCTGAATCCTAGATCCAAGGATCGTGCTGAAGGGATCCAGGGGTCTTAGGGCTGAAACATGCTGGTGGCTTCAGGCTCAGGATTAGGTTTTAGGGTTTAATTATAGGGATTAACGCAAACCCCAAAACCCCAAACCGGAACGACTGGGCGTCGAGTTCTCGCTTGTGATTTTTCCAAGGCATTGTTGGCCAGGAGAGGAGCGTGGCTTGGTCTTGGCTGATGTACGTTTAAGGGTTCAGGGTTAAGTTTTCAGGTTTAAGGGTTCGGGGTTTGGAATGAGAGCTTCGGGTTCAGGGTAGAGGGAGAGTTTAGGATTCGGTGTTTAGGGTATCCTATAGTTGCAAGGATAACAGATTTTTTTGTAGTCAGGACTGTTCGGGGTTCATAGCAACGCAAAGCTCAAGCTTTCGAGCTTGCACTATAAACGATATGAAGCCCAAACAAACGAACGCTCAGAAGCTGAGGGGTATACTCTCCTCCGAGGCCCACTATATCTGAACTTTGCTAT